TTAGAGATATAACGGGTGTTAGGCATTTTACAATTTTACAAGGAAAAAATATCTCCTTCCCAACCACTTGTTCTCCTAATGCCAATTTTAACCATTCGGACCATCAAGAAATGCAAAAATAAAGGCAACCACCCACCATACTGTTTTATCCTCTGATGTAGGACATCACCCTATTCTCCTAATGTGTTTATATATAGTAAATTGTTTCAAAAGAGAACAGTACAAAAATAATGATAATCGGGTGAGAAGAATATAACTCAATTTTCTTGAATAAGGCTAAATGTTTAATACTTCATTTTTAGATCCTTTTTCTATTAGACTTCTTGATATTTAAATCTGACTTTTTTTTTCCCTTTTTTGCCATGTATATGTAGGTAATATTGTTGAGACACTATCGAATACAAAACGTGAATATTTCTCCTAATAAGATTTAAACTTTGGTATGCTGCTAACTCCTACTGGATACAGGATAACAAATATAGTACTTTGGTGATGAGGCACGCATTCCCCAAAAGTATAGTACTTCAGTGGCTAAGGTGATGCAGCAACAAGAGCCATGTTTTTGGCCTCTCCATGCTTTATCATTACAAGGTGAAACACACAAGTGGCATATCATCAAAAACTCTATTCCATGCACAAAAGAAGCCATAAGCCAAACATGCGAAAACGCAGAAATAGAATCACGAAAAATTCCATACTATCAACCATGGAGCCGACATTAAGCCCTTAAAAAGTTAAGTTTGGTGCTGAATGACTCAATGAAGGCAAATTGAATAAGACTGGAAAACAACCTTTGTGAAGGTAGCAGGGCAAACCAAAGGAACTTGGTAACAAAACTTCCCCATTGATATGAATATTTAATAGTCTAATCTTCCTGAGCTTGACTCCTCTTCAATACATATCAAATAATACAAGTATTCCAAGTTTTTAAAGAAGTAGAAATCAGTTGAGTCACAAACTGCACAGCAGATCTGATCTCATGGAAGAAATACGGAGGAAAAGCAAATAGTCTAGCAACATGTCTATCTTCAAAAGTTTTATATACTGACCTAGTGCCCCACCAAATACTTTTTCCTTTTTGGAAAAAAAGGGACAATATGTAGATATTACTAGTAGGAAAGAAGAACAAGAATAATTCGGTACTGCTGTAAAGTTTATTTCAGCCAATGTGATTAACTTTCGTGTTTTCATGCAAAGTGATTGATTTCTACGATTACCAAATACCAATGCCAGATTGAGTAGAGCAACTTCATCAGATTCACAGTTTGAAAGTGAAGCCTATGGTCATGGAAATATAAAAGGGAAAGCAAACACTCTTTCTGTTAATCTTCAAACTCACTAAGAATCATGCAGTGCCCTCAATAATAAATCCAGCATTGATCTTGGGACCCGCAAACTAACAGTATGCTTGCTACTGATCTAGCAGCTGATGACTCAGAATTCATTCAATCAAAGATGATCCCAACAGCAAAACATCAATCAAACGATCTTAAAATCAATATTGGATTCGTTCTATGAATTCACAAGTTTTTCTTACTGCCTAATAGTAATAGATAAACAGTTGAACACTACTAGGATAAGTAAACCTACTAATTTTCAATCTACATCTTAGCCTATTGGACGATACATAATAGCTATCATCCCAATTTTCCCCCCTTTCAACATACCCATTTCGCAAATCTTTTGCGCTCTACAAAATTCTGCGCATTTATACCTCCATTACAGGTCCCAGTTACCGCGGCCACCAAACTGTGTTGTGTGGCAAACTGCAATTCGCTGTAGCTTCTCTACTTCTGATAGAAAGGGCCATCATCAAATAATCATAACCATCGCTCTAACGGATTATAAGCTAAAAGTCTAAAATAAGATCAATCACGAAATCCAGTTCAGAATCCTAAGCCTGGAGGCATACTTTGCTACTGGAAATTCAGTAAACAGAGGTCAACAATCCCTATAACTTCGAAGAACTATATTAAGTATAGAATCGATCACAAATATTAGAACGAGAGAAAAGGACAGAACCTTTGCTGCAGTATCTGCCGCCTTGCAAACGTCTGCAGTGAACCCCACTAACCACAATCCAGGAAAAACGCTCTGAAATTTAAAAGAGATGTTCTTTGTTTAAGAAACTGTACAATTACAATCAAGTAAGAAGATAATTGAACGCGTGTACGATGTAACAGAGATTAGAAACCAAAAAAACTTGAAGGAAATGAAACTCTTACATCGAGCTGTTTCTGCACATTCTTTGGCCTTTTCTTTGGCCTCCGAGAGGGTCTTGACCCAGTCATAATGAATATGTCCTCTTCAATCTCTTCCCTCGACAAGGCGATCCAGAATTTCCTCTTCTCCTTTCTTTCCGTATTCTGCATCTCAGCGTAACCCCTCAAGCGAAGCGATTTCGGCTGTGGAGGGTTCTCATTCTGCTGAGCCGAATGACCCGTGGCAGCGAATGAACGTTTTCCGGCAATTCTCCATTCCTCGGACCTCCCACCGATCTCACCCGTACCTCTGGAGAAAATCGATTTCCTCGGTCTCAAATTCCATGGCTTCTGCGCCGTTCCGTCAGCTTCGGCGTCTTCAGCGTCTTCATTCTCCCTCTTTCTACTCCTCCAACCTCATCGTTAGTTTCATTGTAGCTAGCTCCCTCCAAAGGCTGCGGTTGCTGCTCTTGCTTCTGAGATTTCTCCCCGAGATAGCATGAAGAGAGCCCAAACCGGTTCCTGGAGGCCCTCGATCCGACCCGTGGAGCACGGGTTTCGGGTTCTGCCTCTAGTTCGGAGTTGTGATCGGCGGCAAAGCTTGTGACGATGAGGACTCACCGGAGACAGGACGGCGAAACCGATGGTTGCTGTTAGTGTGATTCTTGCCGCCCCATTTCAAGAAAGGGAGAGAGAAGTTGTGGAGAGGCTGAGACTTCACCGGTGCGGTGGCCATAAAGAACCCACACTCTTCAAAGAAAACCAAAACGAAGTCACAATTGCTCGAAATCGTAACCCATACAAACAAATATATAGAGAAAGATAAAGAAAAGCTTCAGGTGATGAAGAGATAGAGATTAAGAGAAGAAAGGGAGGAAGAAGGAGGATGAGAGAGACGGTTTCCAAAGGAAGCTTTGGAGAAGAGGCGCTGTGTGTTATGAAACAAAGACACAATGGGAAGAAGCTGACTCTCTCTCTCTCTCTAATATGCAAAACCAGAAAAAAGAGTTAGTTCTACGTCTCTGCCCTGAGCTTTGTGGTTATTTCCACTTGAGTCCTCTTTCCTTTTCTTGTAAGATGAGGACCATTCTGACGGCAACCCCGCAACTGGAGGTTGTTTTCACGGCTTATTGCTTCTAAGGTTATGGGCTTTCAAAATCCCAAAATGGACCCCTGATTTTTCAATTAATTGCAGATAGGTCCTGGTTTTCATTCTCAGGAGGGCCTTGTTATTGTTATTCTCAAAATTAACCTCTGATGTTTTAAAAAACTAAAAAACCTGTTTCAAAGTGTTATTTAAAAAAAAAAATACAAATAAAACCCCCAATATATGAAATTAGGATTTGAAACCCTCAATTTGAAAAATTACAAATAAAGACTTGGTCTCATATTGTAAATATGAAATTTTGATGAAATGTTTGAAATGCTCATCAGCCAAATTGTGATTTGATATATAAAATGGCATTCTTTAAAGTAAATTTGTTATTTCTCATAGTCAACTTGTTATTTGGTATACATTCAGTCAAATTGTGATTTGATCTACTGAAATTGTCATTTATTAAAGTAAACTTGTTATTTTTTATAGTCAACTTGTCATTTGGCTGAAAGACGTTTTAGACATTTCACCAAGATTTAATATTTACAATTTGAGACTGGATCCTCTGAAGCTATTTTTCAAATTTAGAGTCACAAATCATAACTTTATATATTGGGAGGTCTTTATTTACAATTTTTTCTTTTAAAAACCCAAACCAACTGCTAGAAAATAATATTGTTAATTTAAGAGTTAGAATTACAAAATATTAAAACTAGTTCAAATGATAAGAATAGATGAAGTTTTTTTTTTGAATGATGAAGTTTGAAGTTTATCTAATATTTGACATCCTATGTGATTAAATCATATTCGAATTTAGACATAAATAAGGGGAAATGATAAAAAAAACATAGAAATTGCAAAATTCTAAATCAGATGTTCTTATAAAAATATTTTATTATTTGTAAGCCAATATTATCAAAACCTATTAAAGTGTAGTAATAAATTCTGATTTGAGATTTAATAATTTTTAAAATTTTTGTTTGTCTTTTTCCTCATAAATAAAGATAACATTATTACAATAATATTCTAAGTTCCAATTCTTCCTAACATAAAATCGGAGAAAAAATATATTTGCTTTAATTAAACATCATATAATATATTGGTGAGTTTTTCCAATGAAAACAAAATTATTACTATTTTTTTGGGTAAACCTTAAAAAATGATTACCCGGATCCAATCAATTGTGGTAACTTAAAAAGAGAACACAAATGGAGATGTCAAAATGTGTTGGTTGAAGGGTAACAAATTATCTCAAGCCAACATCCAGAGTCAACATATTTTAACATATCTTTGCCACGCGTCCACCTTTTAATATGTCATCTATTGTTTACACTCAAATTTACTTTATTATGAAATGAGCATCTACTCTAATGATTTAATTGAATCAGATGAAGATAAGCTTATATTTTATTTTAGTGAAATAAAAATAACATTTCTAATTTCTAACTTTTATTGTGATAAAATGAGAATAAGAAAGTCCATTATATCCAAAAAAGGGCTGGAATATCAATATATCAGTAATTTTTTAACTTATAATATTAAATGTATGACAGTTTATACTATTTATAAGTACTGAAAAAATATATCTTATTGTCCTAGTGGTACAAAATATTAAAATTCAATTAGTAATCTAGTATTATCAATATCACTATTTTTACTTTTGATGTGATCTAAGGATATTTTACAACCAACTCTGCTAAAAACTATTTTTTTATATGCTTTAATATAAAAAGAGTGCCCATCTCAGGTCTCATCCCAAACACGAGACCCACCCTAATCTAAAGTAAAAGTTACACATTTATTAAATATTAAAATTAATAATTATCATTTTAAGATCGAAAACAAATATATCAAGAATTATATAAATTTTCATTTTATTGATAATATCATGGTATTATTGATGGCAATAAAAAGATCATGGTATTATTTTCTTGCCCTTCTCCTCTATATTATTATTGCCTATCAAATTATTAATTATAAGTAATGAAAATATATCTTATTGTATTGATGGGCCTGCGAAAATTAACTTCAATTAATAATATATCATAAAAATAATCTAAAACATAGAAAAATAATAGAGAACTATAATGACTCATCTCAATCTTATGCAAGAATACAAAACTGACTTTGATTTGATATGTACACACGCACATACATATATAATATTTCTAATTTGATTTAATTACAACTCAATCCATATACTTTAACTTAAGTAACTCAACACTTAATTTTTAATTATGTTATTACTCAATTCTGAACTTTGACACCATGTAACTCATCCATATAATTAAATCATTTAAAAAAATTAGCCACTATATTTTAAGACTAAAATTATGTATTTTATGAATTTTAGGGACTAAAATTTTATAGGGAGATTCATTATGAGATCCTAAGAAAGGAATTTAATTATTAAAAAAATCAATAACCAGTAATTGGTATGAACCTGTTGTCATTATTTATCCTAGAACATATCATTTCATACTTTTCAATTGTTGATGATTTTAAGGTAATTAAATCATTTCCTTAGAATCTGATTATAATTTTTCAATTTTAAATGGTCAAAATTACAAGAACTGAATTGTATCAAGTTAAAGTTCAATATCAATTTAAAATTATAAAAACTTAATTACTCTGAGTTACGATAATGGACAAATTACAACAACTATGTCAAAATATATAAAACTAAAAGATTAATTTTTCCTTAAAAATAAATAGGGAAAAAGATATAAAAATATTCTCAAAATCCTAAATGACATAATATGGTGGATAAGTTTCAAAATATCAAATCACACCTCTTGTGTTATTTTAAAATTTTTAATTGTTGCAAAATGACATCATTGCCGTTGTATTCCTAGTGATTACTTTTTAAACCAAGGCAATCACTAAATCTCCTCAACACCTAATGCTTTTTTGAATTTTCGAAACAAAGTAACTAACAGCAAAACTAAAATAATCGATAAATAGATCAGAGTAGTTGCCAAATTTTTAGAAATGAAAATAGTTAATTACAAAACTAGAGTAATTAATAATTAAATAAAAATAGCCATCAGAGCTTTAATCACTGGTTGTCAAAGCTCTAGCAACATGCCACCAAAGCTCCAACGGCTAGCTTCGGTCAAAGGTGTTGAGGTGAACTTCTTAAAAGAAAAAGAGAGAGTGAAGGGGGTTTGCATCATTTTATAAAATTTTAAATTTTAAAATAGTACTAAAAATTTAATTTGAGATTTTAAAATTTATCCACTCTAATTTCTCATCTAGCGATTTTTAGAATACTTTATTATCTTTTTCTCAAATAAATATATCAATATTTACACCACGCACACATATATCTTTCATTAGCCATATCATGGTATACTACCTAGTTATTAATACAGTGGTTAGTTGGAAAGTTAAATTTTATGATAAATATAATAATTTAATTTACTTTATATCTCATGCTTATAATTTTTTCTAAACTAATTTACTTAATTTATAAATTGATATATAATTTTTTATTATGTGCAGTTATTCTAAGAATGAGCCTTTATTATCAATTTTTAGTCTTTATCCATACAAATTAATAATTAGTTTTTATATTAAGCACTTTCAAATCCTTCTTTCTAGTTAGTTCCTTGTTTCTCAATGTCAATTGAGTACTAGGAATACCCACTTTTGAGGAACAGAACGACGATAAGAACCTTGATGATGCTGTTTTAAGAACCTTGATGATGCTGTTTTAAATGATAAGAACAAAAATTAAACCAAAAAAAATCTTAGACAGCCAAAAAAATTTCCTTTTGATAATAATGACTAATCCTGACTTGACATTTTGTTCATCCATATACAAATAACTCCACAATGTCCAACTTTTCATAAAGGAAACATTATCATAATGCAATGAACTTAGGTGCTGTTACTTTAATTTTTATATTCCCATTACTGTGTTCCCCAACATAAATATTGTACAAATGTTTAATATCTTTACTAATCATAACATTATGTGTTTGTGATTTAAAATTTAAACCAATAATTATATAGTTACTTGGAAGAATCATATATTTCCATGATATTACTTCTTCCTCTTAACAAAATCTTATGTTTTTAAAATATGAAATTAAGTTTTTTTTTACATGCTCATAATTCTGTTACATTATTTATATGTTTAAAATTATTAAATTAACGTGAAATTAAACAATAAGTGTCGAACCATTTAAACCATGAATGACTCATAAAGCTGCTCATTTGAAATATTTCCTTTGTCTATTAATAAAATTTAAAATAAATTAATTATCCACGAACCACACAAACAAAACATACGATTCTAAGTACAGAAATAAGATAACCAGTTTATAAATTTTTTAAAAAATCAAATCGGTTATTTGTTAAAAAAAATAATGTTAATTTCCTTAAGTTAGACCACATTCAATCATTTGTATGGAAAAAAGTATCATAAAAAACTCTACTTTTATTTTTTTTTCACTTCACAGTAGATTTTTTTTTTTATAATGCCTATGTTCGGAAAGATTATGCAACCATTTCCTATTATATTGCATTAAAACATCTTCTCTCTCTCTGCCTCTCTCTCTCCCCCCCCCCTTTTTTATAATGTGCCATTTAACTTTAAGTGGGTGTCCTCAATCCATTGTCTAAATTTGACGTGATTATGAAACGGTCATTTTCTTTTTATTGTATGCTTCTTCATTATGTATTTATCGTACATTTCTGAACATTTTAATCAAATTTAACAATACGTATTAGTTTATATGTGTAAAAATTATCAAAATTTAAGCATTAGTTTTAATGACCTGACATGCTTCTTGAGCACAACCTTGTAATTTTGGCTAAAACATTAACCACTTTTAAAATCCCAAAAGCTGTTTTGATATTTAACTTCCTTCCACTAAACCATATTTGAGTGAAAATATTCATTTTTTGAGAGCCAATTTTCAAAACGGGAAGCTCATCACACCAAAAAAGAAAAAGTTCAGGAAGCATAAGTTTCAGTTACTTTTATTGATCAAAAAGGTGATTTTAACATTTTAGAGGGTCCAACAAGCTTCATTCCCCAAATTAATCAAACAGTTTTTTGAGTTTATTAAGCTGACTTTTCAAAAGAAAAAAAAAAGTATTTATGTATAAATCTCATTACGATAAGAAGCTTTATCTAAACTTTAGTTTGAAATACTTCAATATAACAAGCGTGTTTTTAGCAATATATAGAACACTAAGTTACATCCAACACCTTGAAACAAACCAATGTTTTGTGTATGTATACCGTAAATTATTTTTTATTAGCATTTAGTATTACTCTTAAAGTATTTTTTTCAATGACAATGAGCACCCCAAATTGATGATAATAAGTAATGCTTGAAAAAAAATATTTTAAGGTGCTGGATAGGCAAAAAATTATTTTAGGATAATAAATATAATGAAAATATATTTTAAGATTGTAGATATATAAAAACATTAATTTAAAATATAAAGTAGTACTGAAAAAACATTTCAAAATGTTGGGTGTTAGTTAATCTATATATAAACTAAAGGCAAGCAAAATTTATTGTTTGTCAACAACTAAATAATATGATATAGAAAGCGTTGCACGAAAAAGTAGCCATGACTGGTAAACAAACTATATTATTTAATCTATGATGTGAAATTGATTTTTGCATCAAAAGTCAATCAAAACTACCAATAAAAATACAAATTCAATTGATAAGGAGTCAGTTTATAACTCATAAAGTTATAAGTTTAAATCCCACTATCGATTTGAAGAACTTGTTGGTGGGCTATAAGTACTTTTGTAAACAATCTTTGAATTTAGAGGTATATCCTAATCCTAATGAGTTAATCAGACCTAAGTCACCTATATTTTTTGTTTATAAAAAAAGTCAATCAAAATAGAAAATAAACAAAAAAAGCCCGGTAGAAAATCTCTAGTGGACCAGTTCGGTTGGGCTTAAAAATGTTTAAATTTCAGTTGATTATCAACTAATAAAAAAATTAAATAGTTTTAAATATTTTTCCAAAGAAGAAAATGTGTGAAAAAATTGGATATGTTTTTCCCCAGGGGAAGAGGTAGCGTGAACGTATGTCCAATAGTTCAAGGTTGAATGGAGGAGTTGGGTCAAAGTGGGGACCAGCAATGATGGATTCGAATTTGGAAGCGCTTCCGCTTTTTCCCGTCACATGTACATATACCGTTGCCGTCCGCCGCTCCTTCTTCCAATGGGCCCCCCATTGGGCTTCTTTGGGCCTCACTTTTCATGTCACGGGCTCCTCGCCTCTTTCAAAAACTAAACTAAATAAAACACCTATAACCAATAAAAATTAAGTTTAGCAGAAAGGACTAATTCCTTATAATATTGTGAACCAGTATTAGAATTCTCACTGGAAGAGGTACTCATATTTGATATCTAACAGTGTCTAGAATAGGATTGTCTCTAATAGAAGGATATATATGTTTTAGTAAAAAATATATATGTATAGAAGAAAAATTATGGCATGTTTGATTTGTTTCTAACTTTTTAGTTTTAAAAATTATTTTGTAAACCACTCTGTAAGAATTGTTATCTGAAAAAGAAACTCTATTATATCATATGCCATTACGGTTCCGTCTCTCTCCCCTGTGAGAGTTTTCTCTCTCCTTAGTGAGAGTTTGTTACGGTGGTTATCACCGTTTTTTGAGAGTGTGTGTTCTGTTCCGCTGCCCATTGCGACGGAATCAAAACTTGAGAGTGTGTGTTCCGCCGCCCATTGCGACGAAATCAAAACTTGAGAGTGTGTGTTCCGCCGCCCACTGCGACGGAATCAAAAAGAGCGTCTGATCTATTGCACATAGTGCGACAGGGAGGAATCTGTGAGATCTGGTGCTAGGAGGAGTGTGAAATTAATAGGTGGTAGTACGATGGATTCTTCGTGCGAGGTGATGAAGAAGCAAGGAGACTCGGAAGTAAAGCTTGAGTGGAAAAAAAGAGAGCAGTGCAAGTTAAATGGAGGTGCTCTAGTAGGAAAAATGACGACAGAAAAGAGTTTTAACAAGCCTACAGTAATGAAGATGATCAGAAAAGGATGGAATCTGGAGAAGCATGAGGACATGGAGATTATTGAGGTTGACGAGAAGGCCTTCATCTTTGAATTTAGACGCAGAGATGATTATCTAAGGATTCTGCGAGGACGACCTTGGTCAATTCAAGGTATGTTGCTAAATATTCAGATCTGGAAGGATTATATGGTGTATAAGGATGTTTGCTTTGATTATTGCCCGTTCTGGATCCAATTCCATGATATTCCATTAGAAGGTATGGATGTGGAAAATGCGATTACACTTGGTGGTGTGATTGGTGAGGTTATGATGGTAGAAAATCCCAGGCAGGGTGATTTATTAGTTCAAAATTTTTTAAGAGCTCGAGTCTTGGTTGATCTGAGGAAAAATATGATTACTGGAATTTGGGCTCCGTGTCCAGAAAAGGATAAAGTCTGGGTGAAGGTGCGTTATGAAAGGCTGCAAAATTTTTGCTATCGTTGTGGGAGGATTGGGCACGATCAGAGACACTGCTCATGCCACACAGAAACAAGGGAAATCCCAAACTGGAATATGGCAGTTGGCTAAGTGTTCCAGGTGCAAGAAGTACCAAGATCGAGATGGTGGAATGTAATGAACGGTGGGAGGAAGTTGAAGCTTGCAGGAATCTACATATGAATCATCAAAGTGATAAGAAAGGTGAAGAAGGAGGAACAAGGGAAGGAAAAGTTGAAGAATGTAATGCTTCCAAGAGTCTTATCTCTACGGAGGGAGCCAGGGAGGATTCTAAAAGTAATGAGGGTAGGTCGGGAAGTGTCTGTGAAGAGGTAACATATAACAAGAGTAAGGGGATTGAAGTTGAAGAGCAAGAGTAGACAAAAATAATGCCTAGTATTGCAGGGGATATAATCCTTAATGAACACCCGGATGGCAAGGGAGCTCGAGAAGGGGGTATGGAGTCTCCAAGGATTGCTGAGGATCTGTCTAAGGCAATTGTTGTGTATGACAATGCATCTCCGGTCTCGGAAATGGCTCTGAGGGTTGGAAGAATTAACTTGAAGAGAATCAGGATCGATGACACTGAGCAGAAGCAATCCAAGAAAAGAAGATTGTCCTTTACTGATCAATATGATGACAAAAGTAAGGGAAAGGAAGGTAATAAAGGACTTGGTGAAAGAAGGAGTGTGAGAATATTGAAGAGAAGACTAAGGAGGGATGGGGAACTGAAGCGAAAGGCGAGATGCTATAAGGGTGTGGAGCAGCTTGTATTAAGTACTGAGATTTCTATTCCCACTGAAACAAATGAATTTGAGGTTTCTGAAAGAAATGCTAAGGGTACTGGTGGCTGGCCTCAAACAGCCACCAAGAGGACATGATTTTCCTTGCATGGAACTGTCAAGGTTTGGGAAGAGCCTTGACAGTGAAAAAACTGAGGGAAGAGAATTTGAAGAGGAGTCCCTCAGTTATCTTCCTCATGGAAACTAGAATGTTGAAAGCTGGTATGATGAAAATAAAAAAAAGATGTAACATGGATGAAGAAATGTATGTTGAACCGATCGGTAGAAGTGGTGGATTGGCCCTATGGTGGAAGAAGGACGTGACTATTGATATTTGGCATTGCTCAAAGAACATTATTCATACAAGTATGCATTCGATTGTGCATAAAGTACCAGAGTATGTGACTTATGTGTATGGTGCACCACGAGCAGAAGAGAAGGAGGAGGTTTGGAGGAAGATGGGAAGCATTGCGAATGGGGTGCAAGGTTCTTGGCTATGTATGGGGGACTTTAATGATGTGGTCTCTGTGTATGAAAAGGTAGGAAAGCGACCAGTAATATTAGAAGAATGATGAATTTTCAGAGTATGTTATCTGATTGTGCTCTGTTGGATTTGAATTATGCTGGTGCTCATTACACGTGGTGCAATCAAAGACTAGGTGATGATCATGTGAAAGAAAGGATTGACAGGGCAGTGGGGAATGTGGAATTCAGAGAGGCTTTTCAATCGGCTTTGGTGATGCATGTAGAGCCAGTGGGTTCAGACCACCATATGATTGCTGTTGATTGTGAGTTCAAGCATGCTTGGACCCAGAGATCCTTCAAGTTTGAAGCAGTATGGCTTGAGCATGAGGATTACTTGCAAACAGTTGAAAAAGGCTGGCTACAGTGTAATGTTTTGGGAAGAGATAAGGTGGAGGAATTGGTATGCAGACTTGAAAACTGTAAGGAGTCCTCTCTGAATGGGGAAGGAGATCCTTTCCTAATGCTCGTAAGGTGATACAAAATCTGACTTTGAGATTGGAAGAATGTAGACAAGGGGAATTTACTTCAGCCAAAAAAGAGGAAATGGAAGAAATTATTAATCAAATTGAGGAAGCTTGGGATAGGGAAGAGGTTTACTGGTGGCAGAGATCAAGAGTTCAATGGTTGAAGGC